TTACATCAAACAAGTCTCCCACCCAGTCGATTTTTCGTTGCCTCTTTTCAAAGCTTACCTCAGACGATTGCGCTCAGCATGGGCATCCCCCGAGATAAGCCCTGACCCTCGGTGCACCAACAACACAACAGATCCCAAGCTCTGCCCCGCCAAATTTCAGCCGTCCTCTCCTTCAGACTGACTGGTCGGCATTCTTACACTCACCTCACCAGCTTGAACCCGTCTTTCCTTCAGACTGACTGGTCGGCATCCTGACACTCACCTCGCCAGCTTGAACCCGTCTTTCCTTCAGACTGACTGGTCACACAAAGGGCTACAAAGCCACAAATTCAGAACTATCACCGAGGAAAATGAAAATGCCATCCTCATCAGTTTTTCTGGTTTTGTTTTAACTCAATTCCGGGCCGAGCTGACTCCGGAGAGAACATGACCTCCACAGGTCGAATCCGTGACCCTACTCGGTTTAACATTTCTAAAGCAATCGGTGTATTCAGTTGACCCCATGTATCAAGACGTAAGCAACTCTGAGACAGGAGGTTGTGAAAGCTGGGATCAACTCTTTGCGTTTTGGTCTGAAACGTTCCATTTGTCAGTTTTACCAAATGGGAACATTCGGTTTGTGAAATGTGAACATTCGCTTGCTTTGCAGCCTAGCCGACAGCTCGAAATAAGGAGGAAGCTGGATGCCACTGCTGACCATGTGCTTGCATACCACACAGGAATAATCAGAAATTCATGGCTTAATTTGGACTGTACTCAATCCATGAATCCTGCATCTTTTCACCGGAGTGTTTTCTTTCTGCAGCAACCTTGACCGTCACAAATGGCCGTTCGCCATTCACAACCCACTTACATTTGCGTCCATGTCGCGCCGCGTTTGGATGGAGAAATATGACCGCTGCGCTGGTATTGTTGCTACCAGTAGTAAGCCCCACGTTAGACGCAGCATCGATGGCGAGTTTAAAAGAACGGGAACATTAAACTCCCGCCTTGGACGAAAGCAGCTGTGGTCGGCCCTGCCATACCATAGTGACCCTGTTCCATACCTTCGGTTTTCGCCGCGCACCACACCATGACACCAGAGCCGCGGATGTCTCTGGGGACTTCCGAGGCCGCAGCTCTTACATTACTTTCCGCCACCGGAGAACCTCACAGGCGCGCCGCGCCGGGGTGAAGTACCTCGCCAGCGGCCGGCATGCTCAGAATGCACTGTTACCAGGCCGGGCTCGTTTTATATCAGTCGACAGTTTTGTGGGTACCCGTACACATTCTCTGCGCCGACGGCGGTATTAGCGAGCCGGTTGTGCGGGAGGGGGGGGGGGGGCAGAGAAGAAAGGCGGGGAGCACACGAAAAGATAACATTGAGGTTGCGTGGCTTGACTTGCCTCAGCCACGTTTACATCGCAAAAAAACACTTACTTCGAATACTCAGCATCGCAAAGAACACTAGCTCCACACTCATGAGCCCGCTTACATCTTCGTGGCAGGCGGCTAGGTGTGAGCACATATTGTTGGGGCGCGAGCGCCGTGTACGTCGCGAAGCGGTCCCAGCCGTGACTTATAGCCTTGCGCCCAGCGCCTGCTCCTGGCCATAGCGAACCTGCGCTCTCCCATGTCGGACTAGTTTAGCACAGTATCGAAGAATTGCTCTTCGGCGTGGACCGCTAGGGCGGAGGCCATTTGCTACAAAACAGCCGCAGTGAGAAGTCGCAGCAGTTGAGAATAAAGTAGGATACTAGTTGATTTTTACCCCCTTTGTCGCTACTTTGAACTTTGAACCATACTGGCAAAACACAGCAAGAAATCGCGGACTCTCTGCGATAAAGTCCAACGTCACAAACGCTTCATCTTTTTAAAATCAGCGTCGATCGAGCTCTTCGGCATGAATAGCCTCGCGCCCCAGGACATGCCGCCTGGCAGCACGCATTCACGACGTCAGCGGGGACATTGGCATCGCAGTGTATTCGTGGGGCGTGTTGGCGCCAGCCGGTCAGCGGACCTGCTGTGGGGCCACGATCTGGCCGCCGCTCGGTGCGAGGCCCCGCGGGTGCACGCACCTCATGAGCGGCGCCGGCCTCCCCTCTGAGGTCACCTCGGACCGGACCGGAGCGTGGCGGGCAGCAGGTGACTGACTACCCGTGCTGAGATCACCTCAGACCGGACCGGAGCGTGGCCGGTAGCAGGTGACTGCCCGCACTGGGGTCACCTCAGACCGGACCGGAGCGTGGCCAGCAGCAGGTGACTGACTACCCGTGCTGAGATCACCTCAGACCGGACCGGAGCGTGGCCGGTAGCAGGTGACTGCCCGCGCTGGGGTCACCTCAGACCGGACCGGAGCGTGGCCGGCAGCAGGCGACTGACTGCCCGTGCTGGGATCACCTCAGACCGGACCGGAGCGTGGTCGGTAACAGGTGACTGACTACCCGTGCTGAGATCACCTCAGGCCGGACCGGAGCGTGGCCGGCAGCAGGTGACTGACTGCCCGTGCTGGGGTAAGCTCAGACCGGACCGGAGCGTGGCCGGCAGCAGGCGACTGACTACCCGTGCTGAGATCACCTCAGGCCGGACCGGAGCGTGGGCGGCAGCAGGTGACTGACTGCCCGTGCTGGGGTAAGCTCAGGCCGGACCGGAGCGTGGCCGGCAGCAGGTGACTGACTACCCGTGCTGAGATCACCTCAGACCGGACCGGAGCGTGACAGGCGGTAGGTGACTGACTACCCGTGCTGAGATCACCTCAGACCGGACCGGAGCGTGACCGACAGCAGATGACTGACTCCTCGTGCTGGGATCACCTCAGACCGGACCGGAGCGTGGCCGGTGGCAGGTGACTGCCCGCGCTGCTCGCCGCTGCTGGCCATTGACCGGGCGAGTAATTGGTCCGAGCTTATTATAGACGGAATACAGCCAGCTGAGGCCAGCTTGGTCGGCAGCGGCTGCAGCCAGGCGTTGGTTACAGATTGAACGTTGGTCACAGCTTGGTTACAGGCCACGAGTAAAAGCCATCATGGTTGTGAATCCTTGACAAACGCACGGCTGCGTCTTGATCTGAACCTGTAGTTGGATGGCTACGTCTGGTGCTGTTCTTTAAGTACTGGCTGGTGTTGGTGTTTGGACAGAATTTTTGGTGATGTTGATGGCCTGTCGCCGGAAGTCTGTACAGGTCTCCAGAGGTCTGGTGTCCGGGGCGTTCAGTGGCCAGGCGTTGATGTGACCGCAGTAAGTACCAGGGTCGAAGTCTGCTGGTTTATTGACGTAACGTTGACCAGTGAACATGCATCGGCCAGAGGTGCTAAGTCCGGTGGTTTGTACTGCGGTGGTGGCAGATGCTCGCACCTTGCGCTATCCGGGAACTGGCGCGTATCCATCCCCCTCTGTCAAAACTAGTCATTCACGATATTAAATCAACAGGACGGCACCAGAATGACGCAAGGATGACTTGGCACATTGGGTGGTCATTCAAACCACAACTGAATTTCATTCCCCGTCTTTTCTCCATAGCAGGATGTATTTCTCGTACTGCGAATGAGAAGACGAGCTTCCTATGGTGGGCGGGGGGGGGGGGGGGGCAACTGTTCGACGAGCATGAATGACAACATCTTTGCATCATCTGTTTATAGGTATACAATACTTAAAGGCGTGACCAATGCTGTAAAATGCTGTAAATAGATTAGTGCCTCTGGCGCCGAGACCTATGTGTCTTTGCCCCACCTTGCTGTCTCCCCCCCCCCCCCCCCCCAACAACTAATGTACTCAGCTGCTGGCCCGGAAGAGCACAAGGTTAGATGTCATAGCTTTAAGACTGCAAACAAGCTCTAACGAAATGAGAAGCGGGCCAAACGGTTACCGTATCTCATATCCCTAACTGCCCATAGATGTAAGACATTGCCTCTCATAAAGCTGTCAAGGACACTGAACACCACTGACGCGGCTGCGACATTGCACCGGCTCCTGTAACGACGAAAAAAACAGAACGCAGCTTACGACACATTTCCGAAACAGGACACCCTCGAATACATCAACGTCATCAACGTCGTCAACCACCGGACTTAGCATCATCATCGCCGATCAACGCGAGCACAAAGCATACGCCACGACACCAGCATGAGCCTCAGCGTCGAGAACACACAGGTCATTCCCGCCCACTCAGACATCCTCACACGCGTACAAATACACTGACGTACGTGAGCCACTGCAAGTCTCGGGGCAGCGCCGCCCAAGAGCTGTAGATCAACACACTCCCCCAACAGCTGCTGCAGTCAAGACTACGAATCACAGTCCCTCTCACTGATCAAAGCACCGCGTTAGGCTTCGCTTGATCAAAGCTTTGCGACGTTCGTAGCTGCCGCGCGCCTCTGTGGCCACAGTGGCGTGCCCCGCACTCCCGGGGACGTGTCATCGTGATATCCAACCTGCACCATGACGCCTGGGACCGGTACTGCGGCCTGGTGACGCCTGGGGCCGGTACTGCGGCCTGGTGACGCCTGGGGCCGGTACTGCGGCCTGGTGACGCCTGGGGCCGGTACTGCGGCCTGGTGACGCCTGGGGCCGGTACTGCGGCCTGGTGTCGGCTCGGGACCGGTGCTGCAGCCTGGTGTCGGCTCGGGACCGGTACTGCGGCTTGGCGTCGGCTCGGGACCGCTACCGCAGCCTGGTGTCGGCTCAGGACCGGTACTGCAGCCTGATGTCGGCTCGGGACCGGTACTGCGGCCTGGTGACGCCTGGGACCGCTGCTGCGGCCTGGTGACGCCTGGGACCGGTACTGCGGCCTGGTGTCGGCTCGGGACCGGTACTGCGGCCTGGTGACGCCTGGGACCGGTACTGCGGCCTGGTGTCGGCTTGGGACCGGTACTGCGGCCTGGTGACGCCTGGGACCGGTACTGCGGCCTGGTGTCGGCCCGGAACCGGTACTGCGGCCTGGTGACGCCTGGGACCGGTACTGCGGCTTGGTGTCGGCTCGGAACCGGTACCGCAGCCTGGTGTCGGCTCGGGACCGGTACAGCGGCATAGTCTGTGCTCACAGCCCCTGCTACAACCTGGTCCCGACTTGGGCCGGCACTGGACCGTTGTTTCGGTGCTGGTTCCACTCCATGGCTACTGGCCGGGAAGACTTGGGGCCTACCCTGGAGCCTGGTCTCGGTGCTGGTCCGTAGCCCGGCTGTGGCCAGGCCAGACATCGGACCGGTCCTACAGTCTGGTCTCTGCGCAGGTCCCATTGGCAGGTTGCCGGCCGGTTAGCAAGCGGCGCAGATGCCTGCTGCTGCTCGTCGTCCGCGTCACCGTGTTGTTGCGGCGCCGCGACCTGGAACAGGTCATAGACGAGCTCAGCACCCACTGCAGACCATCTGCGTCGCCCCGGGCTGGGGCGAGCCACGATCGTCAAGTCGGAGTAGATGGCGCTGAGGGCCAGATTCCGATCGGCAGCGTCACAGCGCTTTGTTCATTTTTCGCCCCGTCCGTTCGTGGTGTCGGGCCACAGTGGCCGCAACCCCGCTGCTCCTCGGGCCAAAGTGACCACACCCCCGCTGCTCCTCAGGCCAGAGTGACCGAAACCCCGCTGCTCCTCAGGTCAGAGTGTCCACAACCCCGCTGCTCCTCAGGCCAGAGTGAACACACCCCCGCTGCTCCTCGGGCCAAAGTGAGAACACCGCCAAAGTGAGAACATCTTACCGAACACAGTGAGATCACTTGGGCCAAAGTGAGAACACACAGCGAGGTGACAACACCCCGCCGCTCCTGGGACCAGAGTGACCGCACCCCCGCTGTTCCTCGGGCCAGAGTGACCGCACCCCCGCTGTTCCTCAGGCCAGAGTGACCGCACCCCCGCTGTTCCTCGGGCCAGAGTGACCGCACCCCCGCTGTTCCTCGGGACAGAGTGACCGCACCCCCGCTGTTCCTCAGGCCAGAGTGACCACACCCCCGCTGTTCCTCGGGCCAGAGTGACCGCAACCCGGTGCTCCTCGGACCAGACAGCTTAAGGTGAGCAAGCGGTAGAACCTGCCCGGAATGTGTTCATAGCCGACAGCGGCCAAGTGGATTAGTATTCCGATATCCACGTGAACTGAGTGGCGTTAGTGCAAGCTCTGCGCACACGTGGAGGAGTCAGTTTATACAGGGGCAGAAGCCACACGTGCAGAGTTTGTGTGTGGTCTCGGTTGCGGGTTACAGCAAGGATCTGGGGTATGACATGCAAACCTACAAGGGTAGGCGGAAAGCGAAGCGTAGCTGCCCTTACTAAAATACAGGTGGCTGTTCTCGCCCTGCTTATGCTTTTTGAGCCTGTTTTGTTTAAGCGGTTGTCAGTGGAATGACTTAAAAGCATTCGTGTCGCCTCGTTTAATGATGAAGGGAATTAAATCCCCTTCTTCGTGGTTTCCGGCCCAATGGTCTAATTGTGTGGTAGAAAATTTTGTTTTGTCAACTTCTTCACGGTTTACAAGCGGATAATGCAGGTAAATTCGTACAGGTGCACTGGGCGTCTATCTGGCGATGTTTGCTGGTCGGGTACTAAGCGACAGCATAAATCACCTTGTGCTGGCAGTGTTTATTCGATATACCTAGCCCGTTCTATTTTCTGGGGAGCGGGTGCGAGCTTCACTCGGGCGGTCTGGTTGGAGCGGTGCGGCGACGCGAGTTCATGTGGTGTGTTTCACAGATAGGATTGCATGCTGCATGCACGTTTTGCTCGCATAACCAATGACAAATTACTTTTGAAGTCATTATCTCACCAACGACATACATCGCACTGTGTGCTTTCTTTCGGAAACAACACTCGTGGAAACATGGAGAACGCGAGAGATTGGCAAGTGTCTACAGACGTGTCACAAAGACCACAGAGGCTCGTGAAAACTATAGTTGCATTCTGTGCATCATGTGCCAAGCTTGGGAGGTTGCCGTTTTTGGGAGGTGAGGAGGAGGGAGGAGGTGCCAGTTTCGTGGAATATTTTGAATGTATAATTTCGTAAATTTATGCACGGCTGGAGGCTTTTGCCCCACGACTTGTTAAGCATCATTCCATTTCTGGATGCGAGCCACGTGTTTGTCAGTCCTGGCTGACCATTGGCGGCAGCGGCCGCTGGTCGGCTTCTACGGGCTTTTGCGCGTATACGCCACCCGATCAATGGCGTCATTACCACCCTCCGCGACCAATCACACCGCCGTAATCGTTGGATGTCAAAGCCACTGTCGTTTAATCATGATGGAAGCCCCATCATTGAATGGGAACGATGAATACGGTGGCTGTATGACACATGATCGATCGCCCTTCCGTGAGGCATGCTGGTAGCTTAACATCTAGCGCTGACAACGGAAATTTATAGGTTTTCTGCCTGAAGTGGGCTGCAGTCTTATTCGTTTTTTTTTACGCACAAACAGATCAGAGCGCTATTAGCGCAATACGCCGCTCTTCATAACATGCGTCAACTTGATATTAATGTCGGCGTGTAGGCATGTTTTCTGACTCGTCGCAGAAAATGAGAAAATAACGCTGTTGACGAATCTGTTAGAAAATATTATTCGGCTGGAATAAAGGAAATGTAAGGCCGATAATTTTTCGACCAGCTTGCTTGTATTAAACGGGAGCTCTCGGGAAAATATCTATCCCTTATTCAGCCCTGGTCAGACAGTGATATTTCCCAGCCATCTGTCACTCCTGTATATCGCTATAGGTTCATTTTTCAAGTGTCATTCACGTGGCGCGGGAGAAACAAAATAATTAAGCAGCCTTGACTCGCGTCGGCGCACGTACTTGCCCTCGCTAACACTGATGTGTTATCGGTGATTGGTGTTGGGTGCGTTGGATTTGTTAATGACGCGTTCAAAGCCGGATTTCTTGAAGTGTGTTATTCACCATGCCGTTGTGTGTGCATTAGTGATATGTAATCATGTTAGTGTTGTAAAATGAATCGGTTTTTCACTTTCCTCGCGTTTTTATCGCAAGGTTGCAATCGGTCGCTGGTCGCTAAATGGCTGATGCGTCCCTTCAATCAATCTCAAGACTGCTTGGATTTTGTGGACATACATTTTCCACGCCACTCGTCCGGGATTGGTGAAGCGTGCGGGAGGGGCGGGGGGCAGGGAGCAAGCCGGCCATGATCAGGAACTCCCCCGCCAGACCAAACATGACCGTTAGGCCGAGCAGGTTGTCCGGACCTGCGGGGGGGGGGAGGACATCGCGCCGTCACCGGGGGGAGGGGGAGAACGGTGTGTATCACCCGGCCAGGTGGGGTAACTCGCCATTTTCCCCGAAAACGACCATGAAGGTGGAGTCTTCTTCCTAAATAGGCTATCGCGTCAAGACTAATAGGCGCGAAAAGCCAGATCACCGGAAAAACAACATGAACGCAGGGATGTTTGTCTGACAAGACGTTTTTGGGAAGATGTTTGCCGCCCCAAGAGCCCCACCGCGCCGTCGCCGCCGTCACCCCAGCTAACATCAGAATCGTCGCGCAACGTGAAAACTGGGGCGGAGGGGACACGCAAGGCCGCCCGAGGCGAGGCAGGAAGAGAACGGGTGGGCCCTGCACCCTCGCCGGCGACGCCACACCCGGGATTTGGCCGAGGGGTACGTTGAGGGCCGAGCCCTGGAAGCAGCGCAGGCCGGCCCGGCAACACATGGGATGGAAGGGGCCTTGCAGCAAAACTATTAGGCTGTAAGAAAACTAGACCGGTCGGACCCGGTTGGAAGGCGTCTTCTAGCAAAAAGCTACCAGAGGCAGTCAACCAGGGAGTCCCCAGGAGAAGCTAGTAAGAAGGAGGGGAATACCCAGTAAGGGGCGGGGAGAAGTGGCGGCGGCAGCCTGGCGGCGACATTTGACCCCGCGGACGACGCTTGCATATATAATTGTTACGTTTGCATAATATAATTGTATATAAAATCGTTTGCATATATAATTGATGCGCGCTGTGTGATGCCTGTTTACTTCAACCCGCTTGCATGTTTGAGTGAAGCGTGATGCGTGATGCCCATTTGGTTGCATTCGTTTTGCATGTGCACGTATGCTCGCGCATTCTAATTTTTAATGGGGACTGTATCATGGTAATCACTGGCAACTGCTCTTTGTTTAATCCCCTGAATGCTGATGCCCTATAAAAACTGTGGCTTGTTCTTAAAAATAAACAACTGAAAAATCGAGTAGAATCATCGGTAGACAATTTTGAATTTACTTCTGCCATTGTCTCGACAAAGGCACGTTGCCGAAATATCAGCCTAACTACATTTCCATTCTCCTCGTTTTCTCCGAGGAAAAGGGCAAATACTACTGTCTTAGCTCTGAATAATGTTCTTTGCTAATGCGCTGAACAACTTACGTAAAGCATGATGACGTAATAAAACAATGACGCATCTAGGAACACATTTGCTAAGCACAGAAATTGTTTTGCCAGTTGCCAGAAATTGTGAAACATTCTTTTTAATAACAGAAACGACAATCACTGCGTAAAATCTGCCCTCACATAAGCATCAAGCTCCAAGCATAAAATGACATTAGATATGTATGGGCTCATGACTCAATATTCTGCGAGTCGATCGATACAGGAGCTTTGAGAGATTATGATCCGATATTACCGTGGCCTGTGCAGATATTAGATTATATGTTTGTGCTTTTTGCTTCCGACTTGGTCTATTAGAAACCAGTTGTCAGGCCCTATGTCGCTCCAACTGCACCCCCAATCGGACCGCTGGGGATGAGCTCTTGTGACCAGATAAGAACCACTGAAAGCGTAATGGCGTAGAACATGACCTTTTTACTTACCCTTGCAGGCAAAGAACTAGGAATGCATAGCTAGTACCATCAGACGCGGTAAAAGGTACGCGACAAGCGCGAAATATTAAGACATGATTATATGCCAGCCTTGGTGGACATATGCAGAATGCGGAAAGGTTTATGTGGGGGTGGCATGTAGAAGCTTAAAGACTAGACCAAAGGATCAAAAGCGGTGAACACCAACGGGCGATAAGAAACGCGGATATAAACCGTTCGGACTTACCGAGGCACGTTGTGCACACCGGTCATTGCAAGTTTTTTTTAAATTTTAGAACTTCTTCGTTTTCTGAAAAATTCAGAAATTTTAGATTCTGAGGCAAGCTGCCGAAAAAAAGAATGACATTTTCATTTCTAGGACGACAGGTGACAAACTTTTCGGTGTAAAACCGGGGCACCGATGACGAGTGTATATCGAATTTTGAAATTATGGGACTAAAGATGGACGAGGGCAGCTGGCTTGGGGGCATTGTGCAATACTGGGCATGATAGCGGGCTGCAGGTCGGGCCAATTTGTATACGTGCACGTGATCTTGTTTAA